GATGGCAATTGCTCCATCGCGTCGTCGTCGACACGCGAGTTACAGATCACTTACGCAAACTAAAAAATTAATAGATACAAGAATATTTAATTATACTCGTACCTACAGAATTAGTTTTCGACTATTTTAATTTAATCTCTTAAGAAAGTAAGGTTCTTTTCTATGTTTTTTGAGATGCAAACCAAGGACGTCAATATATTCGAGTTAAAAATTTTCAATCAATTATTTATATTTTATATCATATATCGCGCTCTTATATCTAGTCTTTTTTATTTGCTGTGCTATTGTTTCTCTGAGAATATTTTTAACATAAAAATTGCAATTTATTGTGTAATATACAAATCTCAACAGCTCTTTACTTTACTTTTACACGGCACGTAAAGTGAATACGATTTACGATTATATGTTTGCAGCATAAATTCGCAAACTGTCTTTGAACAACGTTTACGAATGATGTTGGCAGACCCGCATTGGGTCGGCGGCTTTACCGATTTCTATAATACGACCGCGTCGCGGTGAATTACAGGCAATTACGGCTCGACGTACAGACGAATCGCGTAGGTGGAGGTCGGCGCGGGTTATTTGGCATCCCCGAGGGCAGTCCGATGCAATCCAGAAACTTCAATATTTGATATAGGTAGACCCGGACGCGCACGCGACGGAGGTAGGAGGTGGTGCGGGTCTTCGAACTAGTTTCGCCGTGTGCGGCTTGATGACGTGCAAATTGGGTTACTTGCCCACGGGAATCGTATAATTGAATTTCGTCAGATGTGCTTATTATCGACTACAGACGATCTACAACGCGTCATCGCAATTCTCGATACTTCGATTGCCTTAACGTATATCTTTCCTCAATCAAACGAGTATCAAAAATAATATATTCAACTGATTCTTATTGAAACTGAATCAATCAGTGAAATTTTAACTGATTTTATTTCGAGAATACACACTACTCGCGACTCGGCGATGAATCGTTGACGCGAGAATGGAGTACAATAGAACTCAAGCGCATAGGATTCTTCTCAGACTTCGAAATTGCTTTTTTCTCCTTCCAGTTAGCAACCGACTGGTAGCAAGAGACGAACGATATGTTTCTCTTTCTCTTAAAGTGGAGTTGCGTCTACGAGTTGCGCAGTCACTCCAGAATATCGAGGAATGATCAATAGTGGAGGAAAAATATTGGCCCGCTCATAAAAAGGAAATCGAAATTGCGATGCTCGAAATTACTGGAGTTCCACTGTATCGAATGTTGATGAATCGACTCAATTTTGACTCGAATAAGTAAATACATAATGATGCGTCTGCAATGACGCGTTTGCGTGACGTAACAAAAATTGACTTATCGCATTATAAGTTTAATTGCATAACGTAGTGCGCATAATGAACGCGTTTCGCAAAGAGCTCCGGGCTAACGACCGCCATCCTCCGCGGCAAATGCGAACAGTCAAAGTGGAAGAGTCCCTACGAAGGAAGAAGGACGAGATAGTGGGAGTGTCGGGCGCCATAAACTTGGAGAGTATAGATAATGCTGTGTATACAGCGAAGCGCACTCTTCATCCTCTTCTGTCTTTCGTCTTCGGCAGCCGGCGGCTCGATGAGGAGACGCGTCGTCGACGTCTCTCGCGACGAGCAACAAGGTGCTACGGGCGGCGCGGCGCGAGAACGAAGACTTGCCGAGACTGCGTTTCGAAAGCTATTATCCTCCGTCCGTAAGACGGAACACGGTGGCACAAAGCGGACGAGGAGTGGGAGATATGCTTTCCCGTGTGAAACGTAACCTTATTCCATTCCATTTAAGTTAGCTCGACTTCCACAGTCTCTTTATCCCTTCGGCCTCGACCGTCACGGCAAATCGCCGAAATTTGCATCGCAACAATCTTCCGCCCCGATAAATCCTTCTACGTAAATACGATTATCGGTTTTTGTGCTGGCAATTTTTATACACTGTCAGATTGATAAACGGCGCAAAATTCGTCCGATATGTTTATTCCGGTGGAGAATTGCTTCTTTTTGACGTGGACTAACGAGTATAAGTCGCCGCTCGCTTATCAAAACGGGATCAGCTGTTGCACAGCTTGAAAGGTTTTCGCAAGCCGATGAAAAAACTTTGTTATGATTTAAAGTTCTAGTATTTTTCGTACTGAAACTAAAGTTGCGATTGTTCCGTGTTCGGAAAATTTATGTCGATTCTCTCGGTGATGTCCACTTATGTACGAAATTAGTCGCGCAAACGCGTCGAGAAAAAGTCGTTAACATGAAACATTGATACGTAATTTGCGCATGCGAGAGTATTATGCAACACGCGCGATGTAATTTTACATACATCAAGTAAAATGTGCGCTTTCCTAAATTGCAAAGAAGATATCGCATTCGTGGTTCCTAGAAACACGAATACAAAATTCACATTGCGTGTTTTCAGGATTTTCGTCCACTGAATATTTAATTTAAGTAACTATACGCGTACTGTTCTATAATTTTTTAACGCATTCATCACACTACCTAATGATACCGTCATCTATCTAATCTACCGTGCAAAAGAAATAACAAATTAACGGGATTTAATGATCGGGGGTAAATGATCTTTTTGCGGCCAATGTTGTGTATACTACGAAATGTTTCTCATATCTAAAAATGTCAACTGCTATTTCATATCGCGCTACTCTTTGGAAGATACGAGAAATTCATTTAATCTTCAACACACACTGCTTTCAAATATGTACGGTGCAGTAAATCATCGATAATTTTCAACGGCGAATAGAATTTCAGATGACTTTAAATAAACAGATTTTCTATTTTACGACGTAGCACGTAAAATTGTAAATAAATGCATGTATATATAATGCAATAACATTTTCTTGCAAACTAGTATATCTCCGAATATAAATATGTCTCTTGTAAGACATCATTTAAGCAGCTAAATCTCATCAACATAAATTAAGTAATTTCTTTCCGTCAGTCTATAAAAAAAAATAAAACTCGCTGTATTTTTTCTATTGTTCCTTTCAATGAACATACAATTGAATTTTTCCCCAATGAAACTTATGCACATTTCTATATTTTATAAGACAATGCTAATTGTTGACAATGTTATCAGAGAACAATGACACTAAATTTAGTACTATCTTATCTCGTAAAGGTTATTGGCAATAGCACTCTTTTACTGACAAACACAACAATGCATATTCAAAATAACTCCCAAATTAAAAAATAAAATAAAATAAAAATAGTATGTGTTGAATTGTGCGATTGTTGTGCATGTTGAAAATCTGATATATTTAAAAGATTACTATTATATTATAAAAATGTATGTATAAGAATGAAAAGTAGTATGTGTAAAATATTTTAAGAATACCGAAAAAAATAATGCTAATGTTTGTGTATGAATGAAAAAAGAACATGGGAAGTAAGATTTCAGTTTTTCGCATATTGTTTGCTACTCCATACATTTCTATAATATCTATAAATATATCTAGAAAATATATGAACAATTTCTGGGAGACGTTTCCACTTTCCTTCATACACGTCTAATAAAAGTTTTTGTTCCGTAAGGTAGAACGGAATTAATTAGAAGAGCAAGTTGGAGAATTTGCAAATATTTCAATAACCAATTTTTTTAATTAATACATCTAATTCTATTGTTTTTAAAATTAATATATAATTTTTATTATTAGACAATTATACTTCTGTTTCAATTCTTATCGCTATCATAAGTACATTAAGCCACTCTGACTTTTTTTCATTCAACATACATTTTTATCTATGTACGCAATATTTTAAGAATCTAAATGCTTACTTAAGCAGCGTAAGAACCTGAATATTTACTTCTTGAGTTAAATAAATATGCTACCTTTTAAAACAAGTCTTATTAGTTTATTGTAATTGTGTGAAAATTTATAATAGTTTGAATAAAAAGTGGCCCAATTAGCCCCGCGCTTTATCCTACGCGAAACTAACAAATAATTATAAACACATTTGAAATAACACGTACATACGTGCAAAACATAATACGCATTTTGTTTTATCTTGGAATTTTGTGATAACAGTAACAAAGTAAGAAAGTGTTGAAATCTCACTTATCTTGCAAAGACATTATAAATCAGATGAAAAATCAGTATTCTCAGTACGTGATTGTGTTTGTTCTAACATAAATAAAAAAAAAACAAATAAAAATAAATAGTAATTATAATATTAAGTTTTAAATAATTGTTTTTTATTGCGGTTAAAAATAATACTGCGTCTATTCTACTAATTTTAACGAAAATGCGCATTACGATTGTAGATTATTTTTGAACAATCTCGATAATAGCTATGTTAACATACTTAAAGAAAAGTCTACGTAAAATCAGTAATATATTCAATAAACAGTCACTGATATTACAAGACTTGTATTTTTATGACATAGGTCTCAGAGAATTATGGATTGACTGCACTAATCGAGTTCATACCGATCGTAATCGTAACCTCGTATTATATGTCATTTATTAAAAGAGAGTTACTAATGCCGTAATTTCTAAAATATTTTAATTAAAAGATTCACCGGCCAAAACCTTGAAATAAAATACTTGGTAACTCTTCAACATTGATTCTCATTCGATGAATGCTTTGTAGTTGGCGTCGCTACTGTCTCTTATTCCTGACCTTGCTCAATGTATTTTACACACAATGCAATTAATGAAACTTTAATTATAATATTACTCGCTGCTCATACACTTGTATAAATCAATTGTTTTACATCAGTAACACATTTTCAGTGTAGTACAATTAGTAAAGATATATTTTATAATTGTATCACATATGTTTTTTACTATAGTAATATAATATATGTATGTGATAAAATTTTCTACATATAAATCTTTGTTACTTCATAGTTTTATTTAAAAGTTATATGACTTAACGATTTATAATCGCTATAAAATGAACATGTCATTTATCTTCCACTATTTATCATTTACTATATGACACGATCGTCACGACATTTGCGTCTCGACGATTCTTTAGCATATCAAGCATGCCGTGCTCCACGGCAGGAGGTTCAGTCGCAAGCAATCCATAGAAAGATCACTATGGAGACGGAGAAGCAAAAAATACAAAAAATAATGTGGCCTCAATGGATCGCTGCCAATGGAGGTAACGTATTTTTACTTTTTAATAATTGCATATTGCATTAATATAAATATATCAACAAATCGTTTATATTATCTCATATTGATTAAATATATAAATATATAAAATTGTATATTAAGTATACAAAAATCACATGTCTTGCGATTCTCTTCATGTGGTTTTCAGTTTTATAACAATTGTAATTGTTTTTTTTAGATATATTAGATAAAGTAATTAATCATTTATTATTATTTAAAGAACTTTTTTTATATTTTATTAAAATTATTACAACGTAAAAAATTTGATTCCTATTAAAATATTGATAAATTTACATTTATTTATTTATATATTTACATTTATTAATATTTAGATAAAATATCACGAATAAATATTTAAAGATAAGACAAAAAGAAGTCTATTACTTGTCATAACTAAAAGAAATCTAAATGAATTATAGATAATAGCTAGAAAATTTTGTAATTTTCTCTTTCAGTCACTCTTCTGCTGATGCAAGTAGGAATGATGTCGGCTTGGAGCTCGCCATATGTTGCCTACTTGACCTCACCTAAATCCCACATCCCCATGACAATGAATGAGGCCTCGTGGGTAGTTTCGCTGTTAAACTTAGGCAGACTAATTGGCGCTTTTTTTGGCGCTGTTTCCGTCAACTACTTTGGCAGTAAAACAACTATTTTCATTACTTGTATACCGTACGCTCTCTGCTGGCTATTTATGATAGTGGCTAATCGAGTGGAGTGGTTGTACGTGTCAAGATTTCTAGGCGGTATTGCTTTCGGGAAGACATATAGTTGCTTTTCCCTTTATCTGAGCGAGATCGCCGATCCATCTATCCGCGGAGCTACGGTCGTTTTAGGTATATGTACGCACAAGTTTTTTCGTAAATAAAAGTGCAGCTCGATTGATGAGAGAGTGCGAAAAATGTATAGAAAAATTACGGACGACATTTGTACGAGAAAAATGTGCACGTGTGTTACACCGCTTAGACAGTTTAAAACATTTAAATATAAATGATCTAATAAAAGACTGAACTTCTGTTGCAGCTATGACTGGGATAGGGATAGGCCTATTGACAATGTGCATCATGGGCGCATATTTGAGCATCGGTATCGCTAGCGGCATAAGTTTCGCACATTGTTTCATAGTGATGGTTATCTTTCTCTGGCTACCAGAATCGCCGCATCATCTCATCAAGATCAGAGCTGAGGAGAAAGCGCGAGCATCGATTCGTTGGTATCATCGCGACTGTGACGTGGAATCGGAACTGCACTCCTTAAAGAAATTTATCGAGATGAACAGAAGTACAAGTGTCGTGAACGTTATCAAAGAGTTTAGAGTTCCACATATTGGTAAAGCTTTAGTGCTCGTAACGGTACTCTACATGTACGGCCAAATGTGCGGCATGAACAACGTCGTGTTCTACATGGAAACTATCTTGCGAAGCGCTCAAGTGACTGTTCTTGAGCCGGCGGTAGTCGTCATCATCGTCTCGGGCATCGGAATCGTAAGTTCTCTCTTCTCCATGATGCTGATCGACAAATTCGGCAGACGGGTCTTGCTGGTGATCTCAAGCGTAACCGTCGCGATCTCGCTCATATGTTTGGGCACGGATTTCCAGCTTCTCGACGCGGACTACGATCCCGTCGATCTTCAGGTTTTGCCGATCTTCTCAGTGGTGCTTTTCCAGGTGGCCGTGTTCATGGGCATCTTTTCAATACCTAACACGGTGCTGGGTGAGATCTTCCCGCCGCATGTCAAATGCATGGCCAGTTGTATAACCAGCATCACGGCCGGACTATTCGCATTCATCTCTACGTCGACTTATCAGCCTCTCATCAATCTCTTAACGGAGAAGTACGTGTTTTATGTGTACTCTTTGCTTCTGATAACCGCAGTGCCGTTTGCGATCTTCTGCATACCCGAGACGAAAGGCAAGTCACTGCAGCAGATTCAGGAAGAGTTGAAAAAAGGTTGAACAATAGTTGTGCGATAATTCTAAGGAACTCACGGAGGAACGCTAGATTGTCTCACGGAAAACGATAACTTATTTTCTCACGTTCGGTGAAACGCTTTTTTTTTTTACAATAATACAACGTCGGTGATCTCTTCAAATAGCACAGCCAACATAACGATCTGCAATCTTTCTTTCCCTCTGTCTCGTTTTCGCTAACGATTATTTTTCTCATTTAAAATAGAGTTGTGCCGATAAACATATGCATCGAGAAACGTGTGATAACTTAAGTTAAAACTAATTACATCATAAATGTTGGCATTTATCCACTGTGCAAATAAATTACAATTAACGGCGTGTGATCTTTTTGCCGACGACACTGTGAAGGACGTTTCTTTTTTTCTTCCTCGAACTTGAAAACGCAAATTGATTGCTGTTTCGTATCACCAAGGTGTAAAATGTTTTTAATCTTGATTGTCAATGCGTTGCTTAACTATCAAACACGCGTGGGACAGTAAATCATCGATATTTTGCAACAATAAATGGAATTTTCTGGTGACTTTGCATGACTTTTTTCAGATGACAAAAAGATCTCGTGTTCCGCGAACGTAAAACGATAAATGTACGTACATATAAATGTGACGATATTTTCTTGCGAACTTTGTGTGTGTGTTTGCGAATGCAGATATCTCTTTTCTGAGATATCACGCGCAATTAAGCAGATATTGCATGAAATCTCGTCACCGGTGATTCCGTTGTATCAATCTAACTTATTTTTTTATCTGATCGAGAAACACGCGAGATAACTATTTTTCTTTTTGACATGGACATATGTAGACCAATATAAAGTTGGAACTCGAAGAGTTTCACAAGATAATGCTTCATCATCGAGAACGTTACAACCGATGATACTATAAATTCACTATCTTATCTCGTATATGCATGACTTGTTGTGTCTATATTGAGATCATGGCTCAAGTATTTAAAAAACAAACGTAGTATGAAATATGTGAGATGTGTACAACAAGGAAATAAAGTATGTAAAACTTTCAAAAATTTTGAATAAAACAATTGCGAAGAGCTAACGGCTGTGTACTACGTGTGAATAAAAGATATGTGTTACGATGAATAAAAGATACGTAATTTATATAAATGTTCACCTTTTTGCGTTTTCCTTGTATAATGAATTGTGTTGTGTGCTATTTGATCGAATATCACGATTATATTTTGGTATTTCCGATGTGTGCGTTCAAATAGGATTTTAAATACATTACCGTAAAATATGATTACACTGCAAGAGGTGCATAAACCAATAGCTGTAACCGCCCCATCATGGGCGAAACGTTGCATACGCATAATGCTCCGTAATGTAGCAATTAAATTAGGGTATAAGATAAACGAAGCTCGGCGCACACACACATTTACTTGCATCGGAACGTTCGTATTTTATATACGTTTGCGTTATTTCACGAAACGTTACGCGCTGAGAGAGAGAAAAATGGTCGCATTGACTGTTTGCAATAATAGTAAGTCTCGGCGACAACTACATTTTCATAGTTGTCCTAATTACTCTGCAGATTTTATTTTCTAGTGGTAATTATTATAAAAACAGGTGTTCTCTGTGAAATGAGAATAATACGCAATGCGAAACGTAACGCAACGAAAAAAATTGTTTTTTTGTAAAAGTAAAGCGAGAGAACGGGTGTGTAAATAACATCGCCAAGTTGTACGCTTATAAACTTCCAGGTGGATTGTGCAATCTATTCGGAAACACCCGGCAACTCCCGACAACACACACACAAAATACTCAGTTTTACTTAATTTAGATACTAGCTTAAACAGATACCGGCTGTTTACCTTTTATCTGAGCGTGTGTCTTTACTTAAGACGTACTGCGGCTTTTACTTTCCGTAAATTATGATTTAGCAAACATGTAAAAACCTAGTCGCGCAGTGAAATTAAACATTAACATTTATAAAAATTATTAATATTAAAAGCCACTCGAGTGACTTCAAAAGATAATAAATTTAGAAAAGTTTCCCGAAAAAAAAACAGAAAGATTTCAATCAACAAGTTACTCGCAAGACAAAACATGAAAACATTTGCATTTTAATTAGGTAAAACAACTTTTCGCGACTAATTATTCTAACGCTGTATTGTCGAAAAGTTAAAGGTGCGATGAACGAACAAATAAAACGCACCTCCCGTTTAATATTTGTTATTGTTTAGTTGGCACGCGCGACGACGAATGAGCGAGTGGAAGTCTGCTTTGTCCCCGCAATTACTGCAGCAACTTTCAGTTCAATGAAAATGGCCTCAATCGGGCGCGCGGGACTCGACGTCTTTCGCGAGAAAGTTTGTCAAACCGCGTAACGAGCAGAGATTGTAATTGCCAGCCGAGCGCAAACTCGATTGTCCTTCTCGAGAAATCCCCTACGTCCGCTCCCGGGAACTACCAATCACATTAGACCTGTCTGCAAGTAAACCCCGAGACAATTATCTCACTCTCCGCTGTTACTCGGATATTCATCATATTTTACGACAAACAGTCATTTCAACGCCATCCACGTTGATGACCGCATTACGGCGTCCCGAATGTTACAATGTTCGATTGTCGAATTTGATTAATTTGTACAATAAACTATATCGCGGAACCAGATACGTAATTCAATTTTCTTCATGTAAACAATATATTATTTTTAGACATATTTAATTTGCAATTTCTTCTTCTGTGTGTGTGTGTGTGTGTGTGTGTGTGTGTGTGTGTGTGTGTGTGTGTGATTTGAACGAACCAATGGCGCTCTCTCTGTCTCCGAGTTAATTTTTCACTTGGCGAATAAATCTCTTGCGAGACGATCCATTCCGATTACCGCGAAATATAAATGAAAGGACGGGGTTTACGCTCGTCGCACTAAAACGAAGACCATTCGTCTGTCTAAATCCGACGCGTACTTAATTTGCGCCGAAGCTATTCTTCATGCGAGAAAAGAATTTTCGGTTGTGGTTATATAAGAACAGTTCGGACTGAAGAGAAGTTCGCGATTTTTAAGATGCCCGCGATTTTGCAATGCAATTACCTGTCTCAATGATCTCCTTGAGTTTTCCCTAAAGTTTTTCCATTCGCCATCCTTTGCAGACATCCTTAAAATTCAACGAACCACAGAACTGTCATATATCTTCTTTCTCGCGTTTTCCTCGCGCTATTCGCTCGATCGTGATCGGCGCGAATTTCGAGAAATCGTCACTCGCGACGTTCGCTTTGACGATGCTCTTTAAGAATCGCTGAGATTTTTGTCCGTTTTTCCGCGACATTTTTACGCGACACACGACCACTGTTTTTATCCCTTCCTGCAAACAAGAATCGGCTGCCAGAACGAGATTTACGTTCTTCTATAACCGGAACAAGACAGAAATTTATGTAACATCTTGCGGCAAGATTAACAGCCGTTGTAATTTCGCCACTTTTTTGACACGTGACGATTCATAGAATTTATTAGAACTAACCGATGACCGTTTTTTACGTAAGCGCATCTTCAAACTACGTGAATAGTATTCATGAGAATAGTTTTCTTCTGTGTTTATGAATGTTCAATTAAACAATCATTGAAGTTCCGATACGCGATATGCGTGGATCGTGTACACAGCCGAAATTGTGTTTCCGTCGAAAGCTAAATCGAAATCCAGTTTTCACGCAGTGATTACGGAAAATTACAATAGTCGGCATCAGATTGCCGGAACGGGAATAACGACACGTCCACATTGGCTTTGACGCCGCGACACCGAGAGTTTTGCGTATCGATTCCGAAAATTTATACAAAACAAAGCGAATCCTATTAGCGTGACGTTATGTGTTAAATTACTTATCGTGAAATAAAATGATAGTGTTCGATGATTGTGTCGGACCGCACAGGTCGATATGTGTACCGCAAATCCATCATCATCCACTTGATCCGTCCCGGGGAAACAAATGCAAATCAAAGGACGATTTCCATTGCAGAAAAGCTTTTGCCGAGAGAGAGGGGAAAAGAGAAAGAGAAAAAGAGAGAGAGAAAATATCGTCATGCGCGCCGAGAAACGAAACGCAGGTCTTTCGCAAAAAACGAATAATTTTTGGTTGAGGTCCAAGTTGTGGTCAACTAAAAATCATTTTCTCGTAGTCAATGGAACAATAAAAGAGAACAGAGACGCGAGAAAATTTTGTGAGGAAAAGTCGCTGATTCTTTTGCATTTTTGTTGCGCAATTTTTTGCGATCCGGAGAGAGACAGATTTTTTTATTTTCATCGAGCAAATCGATGACACTCGCGGCTAACCACACATTGTGTTACGTGGCTGCATTTTGTGAAGCCGACGGTCAACTTCGGAATGCGTTGGTTTCGAAAACTTGACACGATTGAAATTGGACTCAGCACTTTGTTTATGTTAAACACACTTTTCAAAGAACCAATATTTTTTAAAATATTCTTTTTAATGTAATTTTTAAAAATATATAGAAGAGTTTAAAACAATTTTTAAAAATATATATATAAGATTTATGGAAAAAAAAGCAATTTTTTACTATACAAATAAAATAAATACTTTTCCTCTGAAAACTCCTTAAAAAAAGATTATAAATTCTATTGTTTTAATTAAAAATTGAGAATTAAAAGAAATTAAAATTACTCTCTAAATATTAAATAATATGAAATTAATTTTCGCAATATTAGGTTACACAAACATCGGCAGTGACGAGCGATGTGGCGCTTTAATGATCGACAGATGCGCGTTTGATATGGTATTTTTGCAGGAAAACTGAGGAACAAAAATGAAAGAGAACGGCTGAACATTCACCGACCGGCACGTGAATATTTACACAGGGGAAATGAGGCTGCAGGAAACGAGCGGAAGTGAAGATTCGCGTGGGACTGATAGTCGGCTCGGCGGTACTCTCGTGCCAATATTCCTTTCTAGTCCATTTCCACTGTGCTCTTGCTCACTTTGTGTGTTTCACGAGTGCTTTTTTTTATTTTTTTTTTTTTTTCCATCCGTGCGCCGTTCTCTCTGTTTCTTTCTTTTTCTCTCGCATTCCGTAAAATTCTTGGCAGAAGCCAAATATGCCGTTATTTATATTGCAAGCCTATGCGTCTCTGCGAACAGCTTTGTCCTCTTATGCGAGAAGAACTTCTATCGTACAATAGATTCTTGTTTCGCGGACACGACACTAGCCAAATCCTGCCAAAAACATTTGCGCGAATCCGCGATATTCTATGCATCAGTACCTCTTATGATCTAAAGACCGAAATTATTTAAAAAACGTTCGAAGATTTTATTTTGGTAGTACGTTCACCGAAACCTGCGAGGAAATTCCAAAGAACGATCCATCTTAATTCACGGTTGACGCGCATAGGTAATTAGCTCAATTAATATCAGCCGGCGGAATTCACGGTGATTGACCGAGCTAACGAACAATCGCGATTAACCCAATTAATGTTTTGGCGCCGGGCGTTCTAATGATTTCGCAGTAGTCAAGGTCGACGGTGTGCAATTACACCTTTGCGAGCAAGCGAGCGATGCGTTTCTTCTCTTCTTACGTGACTTCGGCGGGAAATAAAAAATAAATAAATAAATAAAATCTGGATGAAATTTATATAATGCATCGACAAGTTCCGAGATAAAATGCAGCGTCAAGAAGTACGTCGCGAACAAGTTTTTCTTCTAGAAAAGAGTTGTACGAGTGGAAAGAGACCGGCGCAGACCAGACAGCGCACGCGGGACTCGTCGTCCCAGCACGTCGATCCAACAGACTCTCGTATCCTTCCATATGCGATCGCCCTGGAAGGAAGAAGACGAAGAGCGGGTTACGATGCCGACGGGAATATCCCTTTGGTTGTCGCGCGCGACTCTCTCTCTCTCTCTCTTTCTCTCTCTCTCTCTCTCTCTCTCTCTCTCTCGTCCCGTTCTCTTTATCTCTCGACTTTCCCGTATGTACGTATGTACACGCGTACATCGTCGATGCGCCGCAGTGAGATGAAATACGACCTGAATTCCCACGGGAGTTGATCTCTCGAACACTCTCGAGATTACATGACCTTCCGAGAAAATTCTCTC